TCAGAAATATATAACATGTTGGATATACAATACCATCTTCATTGTCTAATTACTCAATTAAAAAGCAAGCCAAATAAACTGCATCTCTACCTTAAATTTGTTAATGTAGCAATGAACCATAAATTTTTTAAAATATTACTTCAATAATAATAGACTACTACTCACGCAAAACCCTTTTGTTTAGACATGTAGTCAATTAAGCCATCCTCATCTGGGTCAATCCATTTCAACTGCAAATGAAGACAGATTGATTAATGAATACCGTACATCAAGAAATATCCATGTGTCTCTTTTCAGTGAAAATGAAATGCTATCCTTCATTTATATTTAACTACAATGTTGCTCGCAATATACCAGATTCAGCTGATACCCCATCCATCCTAAACCCCACCCATGGGCGGTGTTTCAAATAGTGGGCGATGGTTTTGATCCACACATTGCCTGCCTGACTGAACCAACAGACATTTTAACACACAACAATATTGCCGTTCGACATCTTGCATCTTAGTGCGCTATTTCAAATATGATGCTAAAAATAATTTACTGTGAAGTCACAACCTGTTTGAGAAAACATAACACAAAGATTTTCTCTTGGTATACTCTTTCATAGGATGTATTGGCCTTGAAAAGGGCCGTTTAGTTTAAGTGGTAATCAAATTATAGTATATGTACAGAATGTTTTGTAATATTGCCCGGATTATATTTGCCTGGGCTTTGGAATTAAATCACAAAGCAATCAAGAGAGACGTAGAGATCAATATAATATAAAATATGATTGCATTATTTTGTGAATATACATCATGCATGGTCTCAGAAAATGTTTAGAAAGATTAATGTTTGGCGTAGACCAAATATAATCACGCAAAGTATAAATTGAAAGTGTTTTAATACATTAGTGAAAAGGTCGCATTTTACTTGAACAAGAACACTGGTGTATCATGGACTTGGTACAATATACGCTGCGACAACTGAGTGATCAACAACAACTTGCTGCGTGGCGATGCTGACATCAAGTGTGTGTTGACCGAAGTTTGACCCCCCCCCCAAGTCACGAGCTGAACTGGCACGTTACCTTACCAAATTTGTCCTTTCGTGCTCCACATGTCGATCTAGTAATAATGTTATATCCGACGGTACTGTAATTACACAATTTATATGCACTGGCTTTGAATACTTATTTCAACATAGTTTACTTAGTGTGCTGCTTTTCTAATTACGCAAATTTGTTTTACAATATTGTACAGGCTCTGAATATTTTAAATTTACAATGTATTGCTTTCATAATAAATACACAAACTCATGTTATTTTTACTATTGTTAGGGCACTGATCCAGGGTATTGGGTCTGTGAATATTTCAATAATACCGACTTGATAATGTGTTGCATTCGTAATGATTATTATTTTATTCAAAATAAAGTGAATATGTAATATAATCCATACAATATATACTATAAACTCTGGGCAGCTCACTTCGATCGCATTATTCGTAATATGTGTCATCTTTTGGTCCACACATTTCTAAACAAGCAGCCTCTCGGCTGAGATAGCTCCGCAATGCACATTTCAATTAAACAACAGAAGATATCATTAGAAAATGAACAATATGCATAGTATCAATGCAATGGGACTTGCTGTTTTCAACAAGAATTCAAAAATATCATTTTCACCATAAATGATTGTGGTTTTTAACAAGAAGAAATATCACTTTTTACCAAAAATGACAAAAATATTCACCAAAATTAGAGAATTGAAGATATCATCATGAAATGAACAAATTTGAGAGTGGTCCACATGTAGTACATATATATGTAATATCAAAGCAATTGGACTTGCAGTTTTTAACAAAAAGTTGAAAATATCACTTTTTACAAAAAATGACAAAAATATTCACGAAAATTAGAGAATTGAAGATATCATTACAAAATGAACAAATCTGAGAGAGATCTACATGTAGTACCTATATATGTAATATCAAAGCAATTGGACTTGCGGTTTTTAACAAGAAGTCGAAAATATCACTTTTTACCAAAAATGACAAAAATATTCACCAAAATTAGAGAATTGAAGATATGATCATGAAATGAACAAATCTGAGAGAGGTCTGCCCAAGGTACATATACACCAAGTATCAAAGCATTAAGGCTTGTAGTTTTCAAGAAGAAGTAAAATAAGTAAAACATTGACACGGACGACGACGGACAATCACTCATATGATAAGCTCTGCTCGACAAAGTCAACAGCGGAGCTAAAAAAAGTCAAATCCTCCAAAAATTTGACGAGGGCAGACAGTGTTCTCCCCAGGCCAAAACAGCGTCGCGGGCCCCGACGCGATCGGATTTGCCCACGACGCTATGTGTTTCCTCTGCGATGCTATTATTTATCCCGTGATCTGATTTCTTCAGTCTCTCGCAGACTGTAAGTTTCCTGGCTAACTACAAATGCATTGTATTAACGCCAATTTCCCGGGATAATCCCCTGTTGTTTCTCATTGGTTGGATATCGTTTTAAAAAAACAAAGCAGTTTCATAAAGACAAAGCCGTAAGCCCCGGTGTCAAACGCTCTTTGCCAAACGTATATTCATATGCAAATGATATAGTCACACTTGGGGTCAAAAGCCACATGTTTCCGGTGTGTACGAAACGTATTTTCATTATTATTTTTAGAAATGTAGTAGTACTATTATTCTAAGTTTTGATTTTTGTCAGTATTTTTGAAATTGTATTTGTTTTTTGAGATCAAAATGTGAAAAAATATATATTTATGATGTAAAGAATTTTGACCTCGTGATTGTGAATCCAAGATGGCGTCACCCACGTAAGATCCAGCGAGCGTGAACTTCCCAATCAGATCGCATATCGTGCTCAGATTCGGATGAATTAACAGTTGACTCGTAACAGTTGTTGTACTTAACCGGAAAACAACAGAAACGGAAGACAAGCAATGAGAATAATCAACCCTATGTTTAATTTACCAGGACTGAACAGGGTTTTATAAAGTTGCTGATTGCTGGGCCAAGCAAAGGAACAGAAAACTCAGTATTTCTGCAGGACATTTGCAATACTAAACATGCAGTGAAATAATTGTATACAGATTGTACATAAAATAAATAGAAAAAAAGGAAAAAAACTGGTTTTGATTTATTTGTCCATATGACAAACAATATGTTAATTATATGCTAATTATTATGCAAATTAGCCACGACTCTATGAAAAATTTCTGGGGAGAACACTGGGCAGCGTATCAGCCGAATCCGGTAATTAAAATCTCACCACAGAATGCAAATGATCACAATGAATAAATTTGACAAAATTTTAGGTAGTTATTTTTTCCCTAATGTCAAGGACAAATCAGTCTCTTTTAGTTCAATTGTGAACAAAACTCAAACGAGTCATAAATCTTGAATCTGATGTTCAAACATGTAGACATGAGCAAAAAGTTGTATGACATATACAAACAGTTTGAATGTGACCAGGCACAGTATATCAGACATGCAGCTCTGGAAGCACATTCTTTAAAACAAAATGGCCACCAGTCGGCCAGTTTGAATCTGATCTGAAAAATAAAATGAATCAATGCATGAACTAAGTTCGAACAAAATCCAACCACACACAACCAAGTTTTTGTTTCAGATTAGAAGAAACGCAATTTTGATGAATTTTTAACATTAAAATTACTGCCATTTAGCCATCTTGAAACTGATAATCAAACAGATACACAACATGTGCGACAATAAGCATGATTGACAAATAAAGTTTTAACATGATGGTCAGGTTTTTCAGAGATATAGCTCTAGAACTACATTTACTAATCAAGAAAGTTTAGAAAGAACTCCCATGTGCTGAGAG